TACCTCCTGTCCCAAGAAATTCTTATTAAAATAAGATTTGTATCTCATGGGCTGTCTCACTCATCTGGTGAACGCATGAAGAAAAGCCTGCAAGAATAGCAGAGTGGGAATTGTAGAGCTTTCCGCTGGTTTAAAAGTAGGAGCTGTGCCGAAACAAACAAGGACTTTAAAAGATCAAAACAGTTGCTGTTGATTTCGATTCATTTTGGCAGTTTTAAAAGATCAGTGTTTACATCAGTTTTTTAAATTTGGTAAAGATTTGAAACTACATTTCTGATTACTTGAAGAAAAAAATTATTAAAGGACAGTTACCCAGACAGTGCAAAGAAGAAGTCTGATTGATTCCCCCCCACCCCTCCAGATATGCATTAAGTGTATCTTCTGGAGAATTTGGTGGTTTGCTCTAGGTTGTTTAACCAGGCTATATTGAAATCTTTTCATTACATTGTCTTGTATAATAGCCTTGGTAGTACTTTTTTCGTACAGCTTAAGTTCTTGAGCTGGTTATCATCGTCTTGTGTCTTCATTGGAACAGGTTAGTAAGGGAATTCTTGTACTTCTCTGTTCTAAATATTGATCGTTGACATGGTCTTGTCTGAATTATGTTCCCCCATGTTTTTCATTCTTCCATTGGGTCTCACTCAAATGTGGTGCTTTTTTGTCTTTAGTTTTCAAGGCCTATCAAGGTCCTATCTCTGATTACTCTCTTTAAAATCTCTCTTTCAGGACTCACATGTTAACTGACATCTCGTATAGAGTGTTAACTTTCTTTAGCTCCTTATTGAATTGTCCAAGACAGTCTTATCTAGGAGTGTCTCACAAAGCTGCCATTTATTTTCTAGTTTGTTCTTTTTATTCTCCTTTTCTTTGTTCCACAGTAAAAAAAAACAAACCAAAAAAAACCCCAAACAGAAAATAGCTCCTCAAAACAGGGAGGGGAAGAAAAAAAAAAATCCTTATGTTCACTGCACTAAGACTTCTACCTACCATGATGACTAGTATGTCTTGCCATTTCCCTATAATCCTCATTAGTGTCTCTGTGCTTTGCTGTTTCAGTTGTAGATGGTTAGCATTTTGGTTTTGGGACTATATGGTCCTGTCTTTCTGCTAGGGTTGTTAAAGAATTCTTTTTCTACAAAATCATTAAAGCATTTTTTCCAAAGTAGTATTTTAGAGTATTTTTTGTGTAAAGTGTTTGAGTCTCATTTCTGTATTGCAACAGAAGGGCTTCACTGAAGTATGGAAGTAGGTTGTAGGTGTGGAGAAACAGGTTGTTAGGCATCCCTTAGCTGATGGCTGTAAATGATTGGGAATTGTCAACCTGCTGGTGGAGTCACCCGAAAGATATAAAAAAAATTTACAAGCAGACAAGAGCTTCTAATGAAGGGGAGTGAAGGGAGGTGCAATATGTGAAAACAGCTTTCACGTGGTTAATGCTTTAAAGAAAGAAAAAAGTTATGAGTTGCAGCTCTGGTTCCTAGGACAGGGGAAGCAATTGAATCCTGAGTGGTTTATATGATAGAGGCTGGTAATACCATGAGCATATATATAGGCAAGCTTTGTTGTCTCCTTTTACTGCAAGACCTCTAAATTACTTTTTATTGCTGACTGATTTAATACTATAACAAGTTTTGTTGGTATTGTTGGCTTAATGAAAGAACTTTTTATGTGTGACCAGTTTAAATACAAAGTACATCTAAGAGCAGAAAGGATTCTGAAGGGACAATTTCATCTCATCAGAATTAAATTATAAGTGAAGACATAAAAGCTAACATTTTTTTGTTTGCAGTTATTTGTACATTGCTGAGGTATCCAAAACTTTCCCTCAACATTCGTACAAGATAAATTTTGCCTAATTTTGTAGGAAGAAAAATTATTCTTCTGAATATTTTTAATTTGAGAAAAAGGTCAAAACCAGATATGTAATCTTAACATCATTGAGCCCTTCTGATGCTATGAACTAGTAATTCACCCTGTTGAGACCAGTTAAGTTAAGAATGCTGCTTGGTGGAGGAATATAGCTTAAATCAGAGAATAATGGGTAAGAGGAAGAAGGTTTCTTATCTGAATAAATATTAGACAACTCTTCAATCCCCCCCCTCCCCATTTCATGAAAGCTGGGTAATTCTTTGTAATTTTTACCTTAGTTTGGTTAGTTTTTGTGACAAATTTCAGGCAGGAGACTCCACCAGTAGAACAATGAACTATGGCATTATACTCTACCAGTCTATAAATAATACTCAAAACCTTCAGAAATCCTAGTGTCTTTGCAAAGAGAGTATCATTTTATTTTGTAAATGATATATTATGTAACTGATCTTACAATCTGGTAAATGCAGTGCATGTTCTCTTTCACTTTACTTGTCTCCGTAGGTAGCTAGCTCCCCCTTTTTTTTCCTCTGTCTAGGTTAGAATAGTAAGATTTTATCCTGTTATATTGATTCTTTATTTGATATAGCTCCATCTGTCCCAATTACCTGAAGTTGTTTAAAAACATTAATGGACGAAGTTCCAGAATCCTGTGAGGAGGAGAATATTATATTTAAATGCGGAGAAGGTCTGGATTTTTTAGATACATGCCTTAGAGAAAGAACTCCAAGTCTTGTCTTAATGTGGTTTAAACCACATTAACTTTCTCTCCAGGGCATTTTGATTATTAGTGTTGGAGGACAGGGTGAAGAGTGCAGTGGTGGTTGGAGGATATTTAGGGACATATCACTGCAGATCTGTATTCGCTTAAGTTATTTCCTAGGCATCCATGATGGAGAGATGCCAGAGACAATATAACGAGCTAGGTGCTTGGTTCAACCCACTAGACCATTTACAGTAAGCTGAGAGAATTTTCCTCTGATGGAAAAAAAGAGAAAGAGGAGATATATAAACGGTAGGCTTTTGTGTGTTTGGTAAAGATTCTAAGTAATTTGTAATAAGTATTTCAGGTTTCGAGATTCTAGAAACTGGTAACTGTAATACAGATACATTTTTTTCTAATTTTGACTCTATGTAATTTACCTGTTTCAAATGCTTTTTTTCATTTTAGCGTGGTATCTACTACTGTATGTCTAGTATTGTCTTTGTTGAGACTCTAGTCTGTGCATGTGAGATATCATATATGCATATAAAATGTTACCTGTGTGTGTGACTCCAGCCATTGGATGGTTAAAATGCTGTACAAGGAAATGTAACATCAAATAGACATTCACTCACTTAGAAGATGTGCTGGGGGGATTAATCTTATCTCTTAATGAAATAAAATGGAATTTTTTAAGTTACCAGCAATGAGGTATAAGGTCAGTCAATAAAATACTCTTGCAGTCACAATGACAGTGAAGGAATTTCTCTGCAGTTATTGGAGTTATATAAGGGTAGGCTGTAGTGGAGAGGGAGCATACTAGAGGTATATGGAACAGAAGCAAACTGGAAAAGTAAACTCCTGTTTAGCCTTTAACACTAAACAAAAAATTCCGTTCAAATAAAGTTGACAAACTGACTTTGTGGTACAAAATATAATTACTTTTTAGAAGTGTATTTAGAAGTAAGTGGAATTATCAAGGCCAAAAGCTTCAAAAAACATTCAAAGACATGGTCGGGTATAGAGGTTTCCTAGTTCTCTGCTGCAGGAGTCTTTTCCTCTGCTGTTGTGTATTGTGCTCAGATTTTTCTCGCTGATCTTCCCACCATTTCTCTTCGTTGGTGTAGTTCTACAAATACGGAGGTTAAGAGAAATCCAGGAGGTTATGTCGTTTAACACCATTTCCTATGATGTGCAGGGGTGATGAATAAGACATTAGCTGGGTATGTTCGCTTAATGATCAGCTGTGAACAATTGGCATATCATGCTTATGGTTGAGCTTAACAGTTAACATTCACTGAAATGGACGATGCTTTTTACAGTAACTTCTTTGGTGTTATCTTAAAATCAAGGAGGTCTCTGCAAACAATTATCTTTTCTATATTTGCGTGCTGGTCTGTTCCATGGGAGAAGGGTGGTCTGGGCAGAGGTCCTATGGCCATATGTATAAGGCCGCTGGAACCTCCTGGTAAATACTGACCAAGCTGATAGAAATTGAATAAAACTTAGGCACGTGAAATATGAGGCGATGTATTTCAGGGGTAATAAATACACATTATTATAAAATGGTAGTTCGGTTAAAAATGATAGCATAAAACTGTCAGTTGCTAGCAAGATGATTCAGCACACTTAACATTTTTCATCCGCATGTATGTATGATTCTTTAAAATACCATTTGTTAAACATAATTCTGCAGATTATTTGCAGAGAAGTCGGAGGCAGAGGAATTTGAGGCCAAAGCAATGTTGTGGGGGGAGAGGGGGATGAGAGAGGGGGGAGAGAAAGGGGTGGGGGTAGTGGCGTCAAACTCCCATTGCGTTATCTACATGTGTTATACACGGGCAGATCTGTACCACTGCTGAATAACGGGAAGCTTTCTACTGGCAGCCGGCACAAAAATGTGGTAGTTAGCATTTTAATGTGGCCATAGAAGAAATGAATAGAATTCCATGATTAATTATTAGAAGTAATTCCATTCAAAAAAGAAAAGTACTGTACTTCTACAGGCCATTGGTAAAACCTTACATTGTTTCTAGTTTGGGTTATTTGTTTTCAAATTAGGCACTGAACTTACTGGAGGTGAGTCACTCAGAGGTGATGTTTCATTCATCCAGGCCTTTATGTTAATTGTATGTGTATTTATTGTTTGCCATAGTACCTCTTGTTCCTTTATTGCTTCTCTACTTCCGAAAGTGTTTCCCAGTTCTGCAGAATTCTTATATATTTGAGTGCTTGGGTCAGTACAGCCATTCATTTTGTTGCTTTGATGTTAATTTTGGTATCTTAAAAGTATGGCAAAGTACATTTTACTATATTTTTAATGTAAAAGTTTAAAGTATGTCTAGGTCATTTTGTTGCAAATAACTTTTTGATGTAATAAAAAATTGAACTTTTTACAACGTAACAGTTCTCCCTTATGTTTGTGTAGGGGAAAATGCAGTGTTGCACTTCTGAATGAGACAGAATCTGTGCTGTCGTATCTGGAGAAAGAGGTAATATGTGACTTCTATTTGGATAAATATTGGGATGGGTTTATGGTTTTTTTTATGGCTGTATTTTTAATTAATGGGCAAACAATACTTTGAAAATCTTTTCTTGAATGATAAGTTAGAAAAATTATGTTGTTGGAAACACTGATTTTAAAAGTATTATTGGATAAAAACTTAATTGACACTCTTAAATAATGGCTTTATTATGAATATGGTTGTATTTAGAAAATAATTTGAAGTAATTCATACAGTGTTTTACAAAAGAAAAATATACAGACTTTTTTCTGTAGCGGATACTTAAGGGGGAATTCACATGGCTTTTTTTTTTTCCTTATTTTTTCCTTTTCTTTAACTTTTTTTTTTTCTTAGAGGTGTTCCAGAAAGAAGAATTTTCCATAGTCAGTGGACAGAGAGAGCAAGAGAGGCTTCTGTAGAGGGCAACTTAGCATAGGCGTTTAATTTTAAGGGTTCTGAATTACTGTATGGAAGGTGTCTCCTCACGCTTCATTTCCTGTGGAAGGAACTTAGGGTGCTTAGCCTTACCAGAGGGGAAGAAAATTCCCCAAGAATTTGAAAGATAATTGTATTGCAAAATACCTTTCAAAATAAACATACTTTTCTTTGGAATGTCTTAATATCGCATCAGGCAGACAATGTTTTTTAGCTGAAATTAGCATGTCTTTATTTTTAAATTTCTACACCAAAACCACTGATAATTGGTAAAAATGTTTCTGAAAACAGAACTGCCCTATGCTTCAGGCGCCTGTACCACATACACCAATACTATTTTTGTATAAACCCTTTTCAGACACTGACAGTGTTTTACACTTTTTGAGACTGATTTATAATGCAAAGTCAGTATGGTAGAGGTATTTAGGAGAGGAAACATGTTGAATTCGGAAAGCATTTAACGTTAATTCTTTTCAAATCCATTGATATATTTTTGTGTATGAATCGTTTCATTATTGCTCTGTTCTGAAATAACTTGTAGCAATGAGAGAAGCCTCAATTAGCCATTTAAAAGTACTCATGAAACATCTGCATTTTTTAAAATAAGGATTAATGTACCAAACCTGTGCTCTGTAAAAGTGTGTGAGGGGGGTTACTTTAGTAATTTCCAGATGGAAGGTGATACAGATTTACAAACCTAATTTTAAAAATCATTATGCTGTTGCAATTGTGTCTTCTTTTTTAGGATACTTTTTTTTATTCATTGGTATACGATCCATCACTGAAAACGCTTTTAGCAGACAAGGGAGAAATCAGAGTGGGGCCTAGATACCAAGCAGATGTGCCAGACATGCTTGCAGAAGGTAAATATATGATCTTTGATTAGTCAGAAAAAAAAAAAAAATCCTCATCTTGCATTATTACTTATGCTGACTTTCTGAACTAAACTAATCAGCATAGAGGCAGAGAAAGTAAAATAGTAGGTCTTAGAAAATTGACAAATACCAGTAGATACTATGAAGAAAGAAAGAAAGGATACTTGAATAGTTGTGGAAAAGACATTGTCCGTTTCAAGTTTGTGCATAACACAGTTTAGGCATTCAATGTTTGTTTATTTAATTGTATGGTCCAGTTAATTCTTTGATATAGGCCTTATGGAAAGAAGATGTTGAGGACCAACCCATTTCATAGAATAATAACACAGTTACAAAATAAGTGAGAAATGTATTCTTTCTCTCCCTTCTAAAACAGGCTCTGCATAGATAATGTGTCTTTGTGTTGTCCTATTTTAAAACATTGGCTTCTATCAAAGCATCTTGTCTGTTTTGTAGCAGGACTGAAACATATGTTTCAAGTCTTGGCATATCTTTAAAACCACTGGTATTTTTTAAATTTAATTTTATTTATTTACAATCTAGCACAACTACCTGTGCCTTAGTCTTTCGCTACATAGGAACTTTATTCTTTTAAACAAAATTTCAAGTACAATATTTATTTAGTGTTTGGATGTTATTTAAGAGGCTTGAGCAGCTGTGTCTTGTTATGCTTGCGATTACATTTACTTAGTAAATTTTAAAATGACCTGGTTTTGTCAGTGAAATGTGCACTTTACATTGAGTGCTAACAAAAGAAAAAGTTTCCTGAGAAGTAGCTAGACGTAGATACTATTTTCAAGAATCTTGATATTTATTCCTTAATAAGAAAGGATTATGTGACAGGAATATCACTAGCACTATGTCAAAGAATGCCCCAAATGTGTATATTTGTAACCTTAAACGGTGTGTTTTCCATTTGTCATGGGCTTTTTTTTTTCCTGCTATACTACTTCTTTTGTACAAAAAAAGTATTATTTCTACAAAGCTTATTTAATAAACTGTGTAAGACAAGAGTGATTTGTTTTCTGGCAAGTGGCAGATTATTTTACAATGGATGCCGTTTAGTAGCTCACCTCCATTATTATTATTATTCTGACTTTTCTTTTAATAACTGGAAATAAACTGTAGGAAGTCTTTTCCAAATTTGTTTATAAGGCATACAGACTTGTTTCAGAACAGGTTTATGACTAGAATATGATATACTGCTATGTTTGCTGTAAAATGCGCCTGTCATAGGGAAACAAATATGTAGACTTTCATGTGCTCAAGAGGAAAGCTTCCCAGAGGATTAAGAGAAAATGACTGTCTCAATGTGTGTATCAAGTAGCCAGGAAGTATTGATGTGCTTCCGAAGTAGCTGGTTGAATTGTTGGGTTTTCAGGATGAGCTGGGGTTGTCTGGCAGCCAGATTTCTGCTACTTAAATTACTAAAGACAGAGCCTAATTATGGAATAGTGAATACTCTATATAAAGGAAATGTTTTTCCCATGGAAATTTTACTTATTTAATTTTTTTCTAAAATGAAATACCGTATTTATTAAAAGTTAAGTTACTAAGTCCTTCTGGAGCTTAACTTTCTGAGTTAAATCCTTGATTCAGCCAAATGAGTAGATCTTTCTCTTACGTCATGAAGTCAGAATTTCACTGTGTGTTACTGTCTTGTTATTCTCACTCCCCATTAATCCCCAAAATGCGGTAAGTGATGCAGTCTTCTTGCTGTGTTTAGTAGGCAATAATAGTCCATCAGTTATTAAGGTTCAGAAACACCAAGTTGCCCACAAACCAAAGGTCTGGTGGTATACAGAGAACTTCTTTGGCAGTTTAGTTGGATTAATCTGCACTTACTTCCGGTGGCTGGTGGATAAAAGAGTTTGGGTTTAGGAGGATAAAAATATCTGGATTATTGTAGTTTTGACTGATTGTTATCTAAATGTTTCCATAGCCTTCTGACCTCCAAGGAGAAGAAAAAGATGATTCAGCTGTTACTGTGTCTTTATGTAAGCTGATGGCCTGACAGTTAATCCATTCACTGTCAAGCCTTTTCATTCATGAAAACAAATCTAAACAATGTTTAAAATTAATAGAATAAAACAGGTATGTTTGGAAAATACGGGATTCTGTGAAGATTTCTGAACCTTGAAATAAATCTTTCAGCCTGTATTTTTAAAAGTGGCTAATGATCTGTATGTCCAAATTATTATGCCATAATGTATGGTTCTTTAAAACTAAAAGCCTAGAGCAATCGCCCTAAATTAAAAGAAAGTATTTAGACAACTTTGAGTCAGTGAGGGATCACTTGAGAAAAATGAGGTTTTATGTCATCTAATAATAGTATTATATAGTAAAATAGAAAGCACTGCTAACTTTTTATTCACGCGTAAAATTTGTCACGCCAATTTTAACGTAAAGGAAGTATACCTTTTTGAAGGTTGTGGGTAGGCATATTTCATATTTACAGAAAATCCCCAAAGCCATTTAAAAAAAAAAAAAAGATTTAGAAAAATTGAAGATTCACACACCATCAGTTATTTTATTTTAAAAGTTACTGGCATATAAATCCAATTCAAATGACAGAAAACATGCCAGTTCAGATTAGCTTTCAGAAGACCAGTCACAAAGTGGCTGAAAAATGAAAAAGTTCTTTGAACTGTGAAAGCCCTTCCACATCTTCTATAAACATTGAATTATTTTGATGTAAACACACTGATGTATTCTAGTAGATTAAAAATTCAAATGGCTTGCATTTTCTCTATACTGTGATAATTTATGTTCTGTCTGAATGGACTACTGTCTTCTTTTTTAGTGTTTATTGGAGAACTATATGCTTTTTTTTCTGGGAATAGATTTTTTTTTTCCCCGCCCTTGCATCGATGTTACCATTTTTCCATCCTTGAATAAAACACTCCAAAACCTGGTGCTTAAACCAAACTTTGGATAATGCAGCATACCTCTCCCCCCAACCCCACCCCATGGGTGAATTGGATAACTTTATATTTCTCTTTAATTTTTGAAATTGAAAGAATGTTTTCCTTTTAAAAGACTAAAAGGTTTATTAAAATCAAGATACATAATAAAGTATTACAGATCCAACTGTTTTTCCTCTTGAGATACAGTGAATCATAAATTCTTTACACAGTTACAGTAAACAAATGTGCACAAATTTTAAATCTGGTTGAAAATGCCTAAGCCTTGTTTATCTATGCTGCTTTTGTTTGTAGTGGTTTAGCTAAATCACTTAGATTATACATTTCTTGAAGACTGTAACTTTGGAGAAAGACCGGACCAGATTTCTTTCAGCAGTCTCTTACGACTTTTGTTACGAGCATCTTTGAGAGTAAAACTATGATCAAAGTTGTCAGATTCAAATGATATTATGCTTGTGTGAAACCCGTCCTTCTCCTCCCAGTGCCAAGTGCTCCAGTCTTTCTAGACTCTAGTTTGAAGATTTTAAGAGTCTTTGTAGTTGCTCTTACTACAGTGGAGAACAAGAGACTATATTCTACAGCATTGACTCAAATTCTGGCTAGTATGATACTAAAGAAGGTCCTTTCTCTGCTTTTAAGAACACGTTCTCCTGTGGCTTAGCTGCGAGTATAGCAGTTGTTTATTTTCAAATCTGTTTCCGGTGTGGGGTAACATTCTGCTCTTCTGTACAAAGCAAGAACAAACAGGTTTATCTCTGAGAACCAAAGCACACATTTGAACAGAGTGTCTTGTTTCAAGCATCTCTACTCTGCAGTCCAGGAGCGAGGTACCTGGTTCTCTGCATGTGATGGCCAGAAGCTGCTGTCTGGTGCATCCACGTACTGTATTTGATCAGCAACTTGTAAAAAGGTATGACTAGTAAGTTCAAAAAACAAAACAAAATAAAACCCAAACAAACAACAAAAAAACCCTACACAGTTTTGCTTTGGGTAAGTCATTAACATCATCATTATTTGGTTAAAAGGCATACTTTTATAAATTGCTCTGAATATGATCAAATTGCTATCACCTTTAACTAACAGGTTATATTTAGTCCTGGTTTGTCTACAGGGAAATACAAGCATGAAGAAGGTCAGGGAAATTGCTCCAAGGCAGATCAGTTTAGATACTTGGTAGACTTTTGTGCAACACTGATCCTTCCCTATCTCACAACTTGATCTATTTAAAACCAAATGTTTTTAATTCTTGGCATTTCAACCAGTATTTCTCAGCAGTGGAACAACTGATGCAGTGGCAAGTTGTGTTACATGGTTGGCTAGAAAGCAGAGAATGAGAGAGAGAAAAGTACCAGCATAGCATTAGGGATATAATTAATGAAGTAGGATAATGCTCAAGAATGGGAGAAACTGGAAAAAAAGAGTTTGGGTTTTTTTGCTCTACAGGATTTCTTTTAATGCATTAAAAAAAAAGTTTCTCTCGTATGCCTGCACTACTCGTTCTGCCTCATGCATGCTATCGTAGGTCTAATTGTAGTTGTCACACAGTAAAATGCACGACAGCTTAGCTAAACAAATACAGTCGAAGTGTTATTACAGATAAGGAAGCCAAGTGTTTAAAATAACCTCATTGGCCAAATCAGTAATTTCTTAAGTAATGGCTTACTTTTATTTATTCATAGGGTTGTGAATCAGGTGGAAAGACTGGGACAAAGCCAACAAAGGTCAATAATTGTTCCCCTGTCTGTCAAAGCTCGATTAAAACTTCTGAAGCAAAGGATATTTTCTAAATGAGCCTAACAAAGAACTTTATCGTGACCCTGTTCTGGTCATGATATGTAAGTCTAGTGAAACTATTTGGAGTAATTCTCTGACTACAAAAACCCAACCAAACAAAAAAAATACTAAACTGTATTTTCAAGAAAACTAATAAAATTTGGAATAACTGTCTCCTATTATTTTAAAGAAAATTAGAGAATATGTGTAATTTGTTGAAATAAATTTTCTGATGTTACATTTGCTTTGTTAAGCAATAATGAATGAACCTTTTGTGTACCAGGGTTTGGT